AAAAGGTTTGGAAGATGAGAAGGGGTGAATACGCGCAGCACTACCGAATTCAAGCTGCCACAGTTTCGCCAGCGCTGAAAACAGGAATTGTGCCGTGCACACGTTCAACTTACATGCGGAACAACCTCCTCCCAGAAGCCATGGGAAACAAATTCAGCTATTCCTTACATCATCCCGGAAGAGGAAGAAGAGGAGACGATTTCTGTGACCAAAGTATATTCAGGCTGAATATACTGAATATACTTTGGTCTCAGAAATCGTCTCCTCTTCTTCCTCTTCCGGGGATGATGTAAGGAATATTTTATCTGTACCTCGAATTTTCTCGCATATTAAATTCAGCTATATTTTTGTACTTAACACTTACCTCTAAAAATTTCTTTCACCGGCTATCCTACTTTTCCACCCCCAAAACCCCTATAATCATCGTCTCCGTAGGAAAAATGCTTGGACTAGGGATATACGAGGTGCACTACGTAAACTTTCTTTGCCAAGTTACCAGTACACGGCGATGCAATTGAAGGATAGTAATACTGACACTATAACTGACGCTAATATAATTCAGAGGTGACGCTGATTTAGGTCAAAACTGAGGCCCATGACCCCTTAGATCTCAACTACGAGTGTAAATGTGGATTTATGCTATTCCGAGTAAATACATTCTATGTTTGAGATCCGGAGCACATCAGGGTTTTTATATGAGAGTTATAGTTATGTTTAAGGTTGATTTTACAAAACTTCATAGGGGTTCCCTTAACGGTAAGGTTGGGTTAAAGAATATTATAAGGTAAAGATGTACGTTTGGCAGTGGGGTCAATGTCAGGTACGTTTGTGCCGCAGACTGCGCTACTCAATCCAGCCTTCTTTAAACAATAAGTTTGGAAGCATACTGGTGCGTTAGCGCTCTCAAATACGAGTGACTATCTAAAAAAGCAGGCAGATAGACGTGCAGCATGAACGGCCAACAGCCTAGCTGGCGTTTCAGCATTTTCACGTATTGTATTTATTAGTATAGATTGTTTTCATACTTACAGTAGATTCATTATCTCATGCAATAGCTGCCGGAATTCTGAAATAAGTTTTCGATTGGAACATAGTAATTGCGGATGGTTGTAACAGAGATGATCATACAGCCTAATCTCAAAATATGTTAGACACTTCAGGATGCCGGCTTTCTAAAGAGCTTCTTTCTGACTGCCAAGACAAAGCATGTACTATAAAAAGTGACTACTTACGTAGTATGCCTTTTTGTCATTAATTTCGACTGCCTTTATAGATTCAAATATATTTTTTGAAAAAAATGCACGAAAAAATTATTTTTGTACTCTTTTGGTAGCAAATTACGCCTTCTTTAAATTTTATACTCGGTTTTAAAAAAGTTTCTAAATTGCCGAATAATTTTGAAACCTAGTGACC